TATTTATTAGCAAGATAGCCCACCCCGCACCAATTATCCCACCAAAAGCTCACCCTCTTACCATCCCCAAGCTTTATTCTAAAACCTTCCAACAGCCATCCTACTCTCTCCCTATCCATCTTATCAATGCAGCATACATCCCTCCACCATGTAGAGCCTAGTCCTTCTTTTTCTTTAATCAGTCCAGCCAATGTCCCCCCTTCTCTCCATACTTCCCTATAATTACTCGCTTCCACAACCCCTCCTTATTTTGAGCAAGACGTCCCCACCATTTGCCCAACAACGCCAGGTTAAACTTCCTCAACTCCCTCACCCCCAACCCGCCTTCCTCCTTTTTTTTACACACCTTATCCCAGCTGACCCACTTTATTTTTCTCTCTTCACCCCCACCCCCCCATAAAAAGCTTCTACGAATTTTATCAATAGAGTAGAGTATACCTTTCGGGATTAAATAGACTGACATGAGGAACACAGGCAGGCTGGACAACACTGAATTAATGAGCGTGATACGGCCTCCCAAGGATAAAAACTGACCCTTCCAAGTAGTTAGTTTCTTTTTGAATGAATCCACCATTGGCTGCCACATTGCCACTCTTTTATGATTTCCTCCAATTGGGATCCCCAAATATTTGAATGGAAACTCCCCTTCCTTACAACACAGCTTGAACGCCATCTTATTTCTCCAGTTGTCTTCAACCCCGATCCCCATTAATTGGCTCTTCCCAAAATTAATTTTAAGACCAGACACCAACTCAAAAGTTCTCATTATACTTTTAATGACCCCGATATTGTCCTCCGATGCCTCTCCAAAAAAAATCGTATCATCCGCAAATTGAAGGTGTGACACTGAGACTCCTTCATTCCCCACTGCCACTCCTTTATACAGCTGTTTCTCCACTGCAGAGGATACAAGCCCATTTAATCCTTCAGCTACTATTAAAAATAGGAAGGGTGATAGCGGGTCGCCTTGTCTTATCCCCTTGCTAACCGGGAATTGATTTGTTGGGCTTCCGTTAATGAGAACTGAAACCGAGCTCGATGCTAGACATTCCCTTATCCACTTTCTCCAGATTGTATTGAATCCCATTCTCCTCATCATATAATCAATGAAATCTCAACAGACATTGTCATAAGCTTTCTCAAAATCCACTTTGAACAGGAAGCTCTTCTTCTTCTTTTTCTTAGCCTCATCAATGACCTCGTTCGCTATCACAACTCCATCCACTAGCTGTCTACCCCC